TTTTACTTGAAACCACGTTTCGGAATTCCATTATGTTATTACGGGAGACGTCATCTGCTGTAATTAGCTAAATTAAAAATGTGTGGTTTTTTATTACCATTTGTTTAAACAAGCACTATCATTTTTCGTGTTTCGAACTTCCTAATTGTCTTACTCCATGTGTCTATTCCAAGTTCCAGTCAGGAAAACTTTAGCTAATGGTTATTTTTATGGCCGTCTTAACAGAACGCTGGAATAAAAAATGCTTTACTAACTTAAAATAAGTGCCTATCCGATGTTTCTTGTTTCTTAACCCTAACATTAAGTTTACCAAAGCAATCAACCGGAAAGTATGTTAAACTGGGCCCTACTTTATGTGTAAATGTTGTAGTTAAGTCGAATCCAAAGCTTTACACTTGACCTAATCGTGACTCTTTTCCAGAAATTCAACCTTTAACGTAAAAGTAACACTCATCTTACTCTTCGGAGTTTAACGCATAGCCACACTCATTGCCGATAGAACTGAAATGTTAGTCTCGTGAATTAAGTGGGAGAAGGATCTGCTGCAACGGCAAGGAACCTTTGGAGTCGTTTATCGAAATTAGTACAGTTATGGGCCGAACACATGGCAACAGTGGGAACAAATGATACTAGTCGCTGTTCATTGAAGAAGACCCGGCTACACATTCAAGTACGATGAGACCGTAATTCCCAAGAGCAATTGCAATCGCGTCAGCCACCTTTTCCTCCAAGTAGGGTTCATGCGTTCCCAGTTTATAAACAAGTGAAATGGCCTCCTCAATCCATATGCGGTGCTGAGACGTGGTTTGGCCAAAACAGTTTAGACATTAAGGAAGCGCGCATTAGAACACACTTTCCAACGCCAATGCCGAGAACCAACCTCCAATAGGGGTAATGAAATTTCAGCAAATAACAATCCGCATGCCATCAGAGGACAATCAGCTTTGATGAAGAGGGGAGCTCTTATTATCACAAATAGGCATCTACCTAGCGATTGCATCCTATAAATACTGCAACTTGATGTCTACACACTAAGTTTATCTGATGCCTTTCCCGAAGAAGGAAGCAAACAGAAATCAGAAGTGTTAAGCGAACAAACGTTTTGCTCCCGTGGTCGGATCTACTTCTTCTTAGCCACATGCATTCTGGGCGGTTCCCAGTCCCGCGTCGGATTAAGTTGGCATTACAGGTCATCCCTACCAGATTTTTTTGATTGCTAATTTTACTGTTACTCCGTCCATCTCCCTTTCTTCGCTTACCTTCTTTTATTTCTAAAAAGTCGTCCTCGTTTTCTTGAAGTCGCTCAAAACTTCGCCTCTGCTTCTCATAGCGCAGTCTCCAGGCGTCACTGGCAAAGGCAAATTCCTTCGAGAAGGTGACCCTGATGGCGGGCTTGTCTATCGTCCAGCAAATGGCCGGCGACCGGTCCTCCCAACCGCCCACCGCTTTGGCATCCAGGAAACACTGTCGCACCTGCGTAATCACTCTATCGTAGGCGCAGGTCTGCAGAGTAGCATTCAGCACATGAGCCGCTCTAGGCGGCGACGAAAAGGGCGCTGGTGGTTGCAGTCTTACAGTCCCCGGCGAAATGTTCCAGG